TTATGTATAAAATTACCATCTCTGAGGAACACTAAAAAAAAAATCAATTTCTAATGAAAATAATTCTAACAGCTTCTTGGAGGAGAAATACAAAACCATGCAATCCAATCAAGGCATAGTTTCAGGAGGGGGAAAAAAAAAAACACCTGTTCAATAGTAATGTAACTTCTTTCTCTGAAGAAAAAATAATTTAACAGTAAGACAGGTCTGACTATATATGTTTTTCTCAATACCATGTCTTGAATGTTTACCCTCTGTCAACAGAATTGAAGTGCCTCCTTTATCATTTACTAGTTTCCTTTAAATTATGATCTATATTTTCTATTCTTTTAAACTCATATTTTTGTCCATCCCTGCCTACATTTATACTGCATTACTGATTTTTAATGTTTTTATATCTGGCAGTTTAATACTTTCTGTTTGCAAAATTGTCTGTTATACTCTGACATTTTCTTTTTCAAATAAAATTTAGAATCTGATTAATTATGTTAAAATTATAATTAACTATTGATTGGGTAACATTCAATTTATAGATACATTTGAAGAGAACTGACTTCTTTATACCATTGATCCTTTCCATCCAAGCAGTTTTACACTTGCTTTTCTTTTCTCTCCATCTTCTGTTTCTCTCTCTGTGTGTCAGCTTTATTTCTTCATAGTATTGTTCTTTTCCTTACAGAAGAGGATATGTCAGCTTATTGCCCTCAATAACAAAAAAGAATATTGTTTTTTTTCCAGATCCAATTCAATAAATCCTAGGGTAGAACACTCTTTGACCTGGCTTGGTCGCATACCTTGTTCCCAATCAATCATAGGTGCTTGAGGGCGGGGGGAGATTATGAATCCAATTAAAGGAGATAAACCATAGATTGAATTCAGCAGAGATAATACCATCTAAAAATTTTTAACCATAACAGGGAATTGGGATGTTGAGGAATTGGCTAGAAATAAATAAAGAAAATGCTATAGGAAGAGCACCTATAACGAATAGCCATTACCTCCAGAGTTAAGATGGAACACCCAAGGAAGACTCCATCCCTCTAACATGGCTGAGCTCCAGACCTTATTGGAGAGGTCATGGCCATGGCTCACTGAATAACAGAATTTGCTATGATGCTTGATATACAGAATTCTCTGGGACCCACCCTCTAGGATCTTTGAGTATAGTCAATCTCGATCAGGTCCAGTAATAGCTAAATGGTGAATAATAATTTTTTCCCAATGTACAAATATATAATAAAGGGGGTGTGTGTGAGATAATAAAAATGAATGTGAAGGGGCAAAAAGGAGGTTCAATATGCAATGGTTGTAAGCATATACCATAAACTGCTGGACAAGAATAATAAGGGTAAGAAGGACATCACTTCTCCAGCAGAGACATGAGACCTTGGGTCAATCAAAGTGGCAAGACTTCCTTTGTCTATTATTCTCAAAGACCCTGCCTTAGAGAAGTGTGAGAAGAAATCTCCTGGGACTGCCTTGACAACTGAATTCATCTCTCTTCAGATTCAGAGATCGGGACATTATCTTTGAGGCAGCATAATCAGTAGATGCCTTTGCCAGGCTGAGGTCTCCTGGCAATACCTTAAATCTTTCTTGGCTTTCAATCAATGTCATTTGGGGAAAATCCATTAGCTTGTTATCAGAAACCTCACTGAGACGTGAGCTTTGAATATGGACTCTGCCCTTCTGGTTTCTATCTCTTGGAAACTGGCCTGGCAGATCTGTCAATCTCCCTAGACCTTAGTTCATTATCTCTGCCATAGACTTTATCTGAGGGCAACCAGAGGGAACAGAATGGGGTCATAAAGCCAGGTTACAGCACCAGATTCTATGCCCTAAGCTGTATACCCCTCGCCTGGCATAACTAACGTAAGGGGTCTCAGCAGAAGGTATTTGAGAGGACTCCTGAGGGATGAGGCATTCCTGGCTCTGCAGGGTCTTCACATTTCTAGTGCATTAACCTTGCGTGGGGCAGAAATTTTAGTTGTGTCAATGGACAGAGTAGATATCTGATCCCCATCAGTATTAGAGAATGAACCATTGGCAGAAAGGCCTCCTAACAAAGCTGTGTAAGCATCATCCTACTATTGCCTACCTCTACATAAAGGTCATGCTGAACCAGTCTGTCTATCTCATAGTACTAAGGGCAGCAAGCAGTAGCTAACATATTCCTATAGACTATTTTAAACCAAGTTCATAAAGCTAGAGCCTTAGTGAGCATAACTATCTGCAGTGAAGGATCAATTTTGTGTTTCTAGTTACCAACCAAACACAGAAAAATGCTTTCATAAATATGCAACTGCATGCTTAGTTGCCAAAGTAATGTCAAATTATTAAAAGTTGCAAAGTGCTCCTCTCAATGTCTATACCTGTTTCATTGCTGATAAGTACAGTTTGCAGACTGGCTTTGGTCTATACATCACATTTTAAGTAGCACTGATCTAACTGAAAAAGCTCACTATTTGGTTAGCCAGCCTATGTGTCAATTTCTGTATTGAGAGTCTTTTTAAAAAATATATATTTTATTGAATTTTTTACAGAGAGGAAGGGAGAACGATAGAGAACTAGAAACGTTGATGAGAGAGAATCATTGACCAGCTGCCTCCTGCGCACCTCCTAACGGGGATGTGCCCGCAACCAATGTACCAGATTGACCAGAATCGAACCCGGGACCTTTCAGTCCACAGGCCGACGCTCAATCCACTGAGCCAAACCGGTTTTGGCTTAATTGAGAGTCTTGATTCAGAACATCACTGCATATTTTAACCTTATCTAGCACCTGAATAATGAAGCATGTTATAAGTCCAGTGGAGCCCATGGTCTTTATCTCATTGTCTTACTTCTTTCATGAAGTGAATTCCTTTGTCAGGAGAATGGTGTATAGGCGAATGTGATAATGTATAAACACTCAGTAAGTCTGTAGATGGTGTTTGCAGCAAAGCCAAATCCAATTCCAATACAAGAAACTATTGTAGTGAAGCAAATTGTTGACTGATCTGTGATAAAATTGAATCCAAAGTAATTGATGTGCTTGATATCAGGTATCTGCTGGCTTCTTGGAAGGAGGGTGCCTCCTAAAGATCTGAAAACTGGGTCACTGTTGCTGTAAAATCGATTTTCAGCAGCTGCAGGAATCACCAGAATAGAGCCTTTCTCCTGCCACTCATTTCTTGGTACATCAGACCATGATACCCGGCAGCTCACAGCCCTCATGTCCCCTAGCGCTTGGAAGAAAACCCAAACTCCCTTCTATGATCTACAAGGCACTGAATATTCAAGACCTTAGCTTCTCTCCAACTTCATCTCATGTTGCTCTTCTTGCTCTGACCAGGATGCCCTATCTTAGCTAGTAACTCCAGCACAGCAAACTCTTAGCATATCCCGTTCCTTCTGTCTGGAACACTATCCACATCCCTCCCATCCCCACCCCCTTTAGAGACCTGCTGAAACGTTACCTCCTGACAGCTGTCTCCCCACTACCACAGACGTTACTTTCTAATCAGGTCCTTCTCCACGCTACCTAACGCAAGCTGTAATTATTTACTATTATTCAAAAAACAATTTAGCACAGGAATTGAAACAAAACGGAAATGCCATATTTCTGCAGAGCTTTCAAGTGTTCAGATATTTTTTCTTAACACTCAGAGGGGGAAGCAAAAGATCAAGAGACATCTTTGAAGACTTACTAAATAATGAAATGTCCAAATGGTTTCCTATACCCAAAACCTCCCAGAAGTCAGCCTCTGTCTTCTCTTTCAAAAGGAGAGCAGCATTACCCTTTTTCATCTACGATTCACATCCAACGCAGGCCAGGAACCCAGGGAGGCCGCCTTGTGGCCTTTTATTAAACCGGAGGCCCGCGCAGCGCGGGGGTGGGCTCCGGGCGCCGCTGGGTTCTACGTCGCCGGGCTCTCCGGGCGGGCGTTACCTGGAGTCTCGCTCCCGCCCGCATCTCTCAGCCACCCCACTGCCCCAACCCCCGAGTCCCGAGGGCGCCCTCGGACCGCAGCCGTTCAAACTGGCGAGAGTGCCCCCTCGGGGTTCCCGGGCCGTCTCCTGGTTACTTGGGCGCAGAGCTTCGAAGGGGCCTCAGTCCCCAGGCGCCCAGCCTTCTCGTGAGCGCCCTCCTGCCCGGGCTGCCTCTGCCTCCCCGCACCCGGGTCCCAGCCTCGGCCGCCCCCTCCCACGGCCCATCCTCCCGGCGTCCGGCCACGCGGCGCACAAGCCTCCGGCTCCCCAGCAGGTCCTGGCCTCAACCAGAACTAAGTAAGAAATCGAAGAGACAGGAGACAGTGTGTGACTCGAGGTCCCTGCTCATCTATCTATCTATCTATCTATCTATCTATCTATCTATCTATCTATCTATCTATCCATCCATCCATCCATCCATCATCTGCCTTACCTACCTATCAATGTATCTATCGACCTTCCTATCCACTCCCCACCCCACCCTCTTACCTAATCCATCCATCCATCCATCCATTATCCATCCATCCATCTACCCACCCACTCACCCACCCACTATCGCTCTCCTGTAGGACTAGGATTAATGAGAGCTTTAACTGGAAAAAGCCAAGTAGGACTTTTTTTCCCCCAGACAGAAAATGTTTTAGAAAATGTAGTTTTAAAGTCTAGCTTTACTAATTATGTTACATGGTGGAACTTTTCTATAAATTGAATGAGCTCACGAGAAGGCTCCAAGGTTTCGACAAAATTGAAGTCCAGTTGTATTACACTTTACAACAAAAATTACGTACTTGAGTTTAGGAATCAGCCAGATACGCACAAGGGGTACAGAGGTTTTTGTTTTCCCCCCCAAAATCTTTTTAAACGGCTTCAGCAAAAGTCTGAGCAACAGTACGGCCCCCCATCCCCTACCCCACTCCGACAATCTCGTGGGCAGGTGGGGCCGGAGCTCGGGACCAGGAAGGAGGAAGCGGAAGTAAGCCAAAGAGGGCGGAGACAGAGGCGGGAGCAGTGAGAGCCGGAAGTGGGAGGCTAGAGAAGCAGGGAGGAGGGGGAGCCCCGAGCGGTGACGCTCTAGCACCGGAGCGCCGTCTCTATGCTCCCCCGCGTCTAGTCTATTTATTGTCGCGGGGAAGCGGCGGCCGCCCCGGACCCGGAACAACAAAGCGCGAAAGAGGGAGCCCGTGCCTCGGGGGCTCCTAGCAACGGGCCGGGGCGGGAGTTCCATGGAGACTGGAGAGCGCGCCCGCATCATCATCCTCCTCGTCCTCCAGGTTATCCTTCGCGTCCGCCGCCACCGGCATCAGCGCTGCCGCCGCGTCCTTTGCCGCCGCCCCCTCTTCCCACGGTAAACCCGGGGGCGCCCCTCGGGGGGGCAGGGAGCGGGCGGCCCGAGTGCGGGTGCGGGGTGCGGGGCGGCGAGCGGTGCGGGGCCCCGGAGCCGGGCTGCGAGCGGGGCGTGCGGGGGCGGGTCGCCGGAGGAGGGGCGCTCCGGTTGGGAAACGGCTCCGGGAGTCCTGCAGGGACGGACCTTGGGGGATCTCGTTGGGGGCGGCGAGGTGGAGGGTGGGGCGTCGCTGCCGCGGAGCGTCTTCCAGCGGGGTGTCGGAGGAGAAAAGAGGTGTCTCTTTCTCGTGCTCGCCACCCCTGGGAGGAGAGGAGAGCCGGGAGCCGGAGATTCCCTGCCCGCCTGCCCGTGTGCAGCCCTCTCCCGGGGAAGGAAGGGTCGTGCAAAGATGCTCAGGGGGTGCGTTTGTTCCCCAGAAAAACTTGAGTGGCCTCTGCCGCGGCCGGGGTGCTCCCAGATCTCATCCGCGTCGAGAGACCCGCTTTGTTGTTGTTTTTATTAGCCAAAAAGATCAAAAAGATGTGAAGAAGGATCTAGAAACGGAGGAAGAGAGAATGAATTGTGGGTAGGGCTGAGCCAGGACGAGGGTTGGTTGGGGTAAGCGCTTGATAACGGGAAGATCCTAAAAGTGAATGCAGTTGGCAGCGACGGTTTTTTAAAACTCTCTTCTGCCGAGACGATGTGCCTCTCTGCGGGTCGTGTCAGTGTGTGCATTGCAACCAGGCGCAGGCTGCAGCCAAGCCACATCTGTGAGCTCCGAGGCTGCATCTGTCACCTGCGGTTCCCCAGCGACTCTGCCAGTTAGGCGGCGTGGGCTTGTGTGTGAGCGTGAGGAACAGTGTGCCTTCACATCGGTTCAAGGAAAGAAAAGGAAACAAGCTTGGGGTGTGATTTTTGTGGGAAGTAACAATGGCAGATTCTCTGGGGGAATTGAAAAAAAGAAATATCTAAGAAGGTTCGGCTAAAATCTGCAGTTTCTTTGGAAGTTTAAGGAGATGGTCAGTTAATTCCAGTTGAGAAGAGGCTTTGATTATCACTATCTTGTTTAAAGAATTACTGTTTCATTTGGCCAGTGCAATCCTGGTACGTCCAGGTCTATGCTGCCTCTTTAAGCCTTACCATCACTAACTAAAGGTTTTATATTTTCCAAAACTATACTAGGTCAGTGAATGAGATTTTTCCTATGGCATACTGAAAAGGCCACATATACGTACCACAATAATATCGTTTTTGTGTTCAATGGGAACAAAGCTCTGTACATACACTGAAGATTAAGGATGAGAATAAAACTGATAGGTCACCGAAGCACAGCTTCTGTTTTGCTAAGCCTGACTTCTTAAACAAAAAGGTATCATCCTTATGTCCAGCCCTCTCTTTTTGTACACTCTGCCCTCGAAATGAGCCCCAGAAACTGTAATGATCTACTTACTGTGTGTTCCTGAATTTGATGCCGGAATACTCGGGCTTTTTCGTGTAATAGAAGTTCAATGTCTCTTGCTAAAGGATTTTCCTGTGGAAAGTGGTGGGCAGTTTCCTTTAACAAAGATGGGAAGTACAAAACACTGGGAAATTTAAAATTGCATTTTAAGAAGAAAAACATGATATTGTCATCTTTAGGTTAATGAATGGATTGTTGCATAATCTATATAATAAAAGGGTAATATGCAAATTGACCACCGCTGGACCAGTCACTATGCGGTTCACCAACCACCTCTTGGTTCCTTTCCTCAGCCGGCAGACTCCCATCACCTGATGGCCAATGGGGAACTGGGGGCGCGTGGCGGGAGGGGACAGGGCCGCTGCAGGCAGCTGGGGACGATGGCCCTGATAGCAGGCCTGGCCTCGGACTGTACCCGCACACGGCCTCTATCTAGTCTTTTCATATAGTAGCTGTTCTTCTGTAAAGGCTGTGCTGGGAGATGATCACACGTGAGGCTGTTGGATGGGCAGCCCCAGAATTTTCATAGTGTATACGAGACCGTGAATTCAGTCCTCCGTGTCAAAGCTGCTATCACACTCAGTTCACCTGGACCTCTTAGCTGTTGCCTCTGTTCCTTCTATATTTGAATTGGCGTCAAGCCCCACTTTCCACCTTTATTCACAATCCAATTTTTGCTTTCCCTGTTCTGCTGCAACCCTTCCAACATTTGATGTCTTTTTTCCTCACCTTACTTGTGTCCTAATAAAAAATAGGATTTTTTAAATGCTATTTGTATTAGTATTTCTGTTTCTTAGGAAGTTGTCATCATGTGCTTGGTCTGTATATCCTTTTCTTTTCTTTTCTTTTAAATATATTTTATTGATTTTGTACAGAGAAGAAGGGAGAGAGATAGAGAGTTAGAAACGTCGATGAGAGTCATCGATCAGCTGCCTCTTGCAAACCCCCTACTGGGGATATGCCCGCAACCAAGGTACATGCCCTTGACCGGAATCGAACCCGGGACCTTTCAATCCCCAAGCCGACGCTCTATCCATTGAGCCAAACCGGTTTCGGCTGTATATCCTTTTCATTAATGGCACTTCGTGTATTGCATATTCCTTCTGTGCCCCTCCCCTTTATTTGGAGAACTGGAGTAGATATGTCAGATGTTCTGTATTCATTCTGAATAGGTGTTGGTTGTGTAGTACAACAGGTAAGAGCCTTATGCTGAGAATCAAAATACTGTATGGAGATAAGCCATGAAAAATATTTAAATTTTTAGAATAGAAGGTGTTTTAGAAGTTCAGAAGTAATACTGTGATTGTAGACATGGTCACTTTTTTTTTTTTAAAGATAAAAGACTATTTTTGGTTATTTATTGAACCATAGATTTTCCTAATTCTTAGTCTAAAAAACATTTAACATCAATCTTTTCTCATTATTATGCATCTGAATGTTAGACCAAAATTACTTTTTGCCAGATTAGGGGGACAATTGAGGTGATTCCCCAAAATTTTTCTTCATGTGGAAAATTTTTGTGGATGCATACATATATAGAATTTGTTATAAAGCAGAAGAAATACATATAAGACACATAGCTGAATATTTTTGGAGAGTGTTATTTCTTATGGATGTGGCACATTTTAAAATCAGCAAATATTGTATAATACAGTTGAGTGGGTATCAGTGCTGTTTTAGGAGAAGTAGGCCCGTAATAACCTGGTGATTCATTTCATTCTGTTGCATCATAGACCATGTGAAGAAATTAGTGCTATGAAAACTAAAGTTTAAATTGATTTTAGAATAATTTATAGTAGAATGTTCCCATAGTGTCTCTGAGCTAAAACCTCTAGTGTTTTGAAAATTTAGCTATATTATGATTTTTGAAATAATAAATAAAAATTTACTGTAATTTATACCCATACTTTTTGCACCTTTTATAAACCTGATGTCACATCAGGTGTGCAAAGATGGATGAAAAGTGTTTCTCTTCTTGTGCCTTTTTTTGCACTTGTAGATAGCAGAGAAATGACGTGCATGGACACCAAAATATGACAGACAAAATTTTTGAATTTTAAATCCTTTATTACATACTGCTTGAAGCTATAGTTACTGGTGTCAGGATTTCATCCATACCTGCTAAATTAGAAATTTCCTGAGTGTGTGACTGTGGAAAAGCAACATTCCAGAATTATGTCATTATTCTAAAGGAATCGGGTCATATTAGAAATTGTATACATCTGGTTTTATCTTTTGTCATCATGTTGCATATTCATGCGTGTGTGTGTGTGTGTGTGTGTGTGTGTGTGTGTGTATTTTGAAGATTAATGTTAATAGAAGGATATATTTCTATTTTACTTCAGGGAGTTAATCTAGTGAATGAGGGCAACTTTTAGGCATCTAATTAGTAGTCTAATTCTTGATCCTTAAAAGGTCAACTTTTTATACTAGCTGCTAGTTATAAGCAGCAAACATTTCTTGAACATGGTTAGAGTTTTTGTTTTTCTAACCAATTCAAACAATAGAAATAATGGCTTACTGCCCTGGCCAGTGTGGCTCAGTTAGTTGGAGCATAGTCCCGTAAAACCAAAAGGTGGCAGGTTTGATTCCTGGTCAGGCCACATACCCAGGTTACAGGTTCCATCCCTGGTTGGGATGGTTGAGGGAGGCAGCTGATCAACCGATGTTTCTCTCTCACATTGATATTTCTCTCTCTCTCACAAAATAAATAACTAAATAAATAACAATAGCAGTAGTAATAATAATGGTTCATTGCCTTGAGTAGATACAGTATTCTTGTCACAAGACTCCCAGTTTGAGAAATTTCAAAAGGGTGAAATTATATACATATCTGATGTCTTTCAGGCCACTTAGTAACAATCAACCTTTTATTTAGAAGAGAGATTGTGTGTGTGTGTGTGTGTGTGTGTGTGTGTGTGACTGTGGAAAAGCAACATTCCAGAATTATGTCATTATTCTAAAGGAATCGGGTCATATTAGAAATTGTATACATCTGGTTTTATCTTTTGACTAAAGGGTGATAAAATACAGAATTTGCTTCAATGGCTCGTTTTATACTGGAAGCAGACTTCTGGGCATCCCGTAGTATGTTCAAGAAAACACACACAGAAGTGAACTCCGGGATGGTTCAAATCAGAATTCATGTAGGAGTCAATAATGAGATTTTTGAATTTCACCCTCCAAAATGCAGCACAAAAGTTTGCCTGGTGACTTGGACCATACAATATTTATCCGTCAAGAGAGAATACTGAAAATCCCATTGTGTGTTAAGGACAGAGATTTCTTGGGACATGTATGGATGGGTGGCTTTAGTACTTTGTGTTTAGCACCATAAACATCTGTCTATAGACATCGGTCCATGGTATGCTTTTGTTTTTTAACTCACAACTTTTAAAAAGATGTAAAATGTTATTTTATTAATTAAATGGTGTTACTCTTTCTCTTTCTGATAAATTACAACTATTTTCATTGAGACAGAACAGTTTTGATAAAAGTTAGCTATGCTTTCTTAGAATTGGTGTGGAGTTTTAGAGTATGGCCTCCGAATACAGCCTGCTTG